TGGGAGGTGTAGGCAGTTGGGGGTGCAGCTAGTGAGGGGCAGATTAAGCACAGAGGATGGGGCAGGGTGCAGGGCCCTGGGGCTTATTGGGGGCCTGTGAGCCAACACAGATTACTCACGCTTAACCTGGACTGAAGGAGCTTAGCATGGAGCTGGACACACCACTCTCTATTCTACTCTGCTCTATTCAGCGAGCAGCGCTCTCTCTCTGCACTCCTCCCATCTAACACCTCAATGCATTGCCCCTGCGCAGCTCAAGAAGGAACACGTCCTTTAGTTTAATACTAAAAATCCTGTTGTGCCTAAATTCATATCCCAGTCTGAACATAATTTAGGATGGACCTAATATGATTTAAATGAAATACACTTGAATTGTTTTAGGTAACGCACTACAGGAATGAAGACAGAAGCAAACACCACAGGGACTTTTGTTACAGTAGCTTTTGAATAAGGATGAGATTGCTTTGCTGCCACAATCTTGGAATTTTGCTTAAAAATTGTATTGTAAGGCACTGCTCCAACCTTTGGAATATTAAGATATGCTCTTACATTTGTACTCCCATTTGTACCCAAATCTTCTAAACCCCATTCATAGGGTGTCACTCCCATGATGATACCACCAGTTACACATCAGCAGGGTTTTCTTGTTTTCCCAGACTTCACGTAGGTCCTTCAGAGATGTTTTTACCAGCTGAGTAGGTTCTTATGTGTCCATCAGACACTTTACAATCGATATGACACATGCTAATGAGTTGAAAGAATACACTTGCTAAAACACACACACACACACACGCACGCACGCACGCACGCACGCACGCACGCACATACACACACACACACACACACACACACACACACACACAGTGTAAATAGGCTGAGTGGTCTATTGATTGTTTTCCTCACCATTCATGAGGCTAAGGAGCTTGAAAAGCTCCAAGCTAATAACAAGCTAACAACAGGCTAATGAGTTGACACGGTCTGAGTGTCTCTGAGGTCCTCTCTGCTACACCCAATTAGCCAGCACCCAAGGGGACATCCATTTTTATTAACAAGGTGGCTTTTTTTCATGGTGCAGTGTTAAAACCCCCACCTATGGCACAGTGGTCAAACTGACTCTCAGGCTATCAGAAACTTTTTGCATAAGTAGAATCTCTTGACCTCCATCTTTAGTTTTTGGCACTTGTTGTCCCACAATGACCCTTAACAATACCTTTGTCTTCTTCAAACACATCCCTGTTTAATCTGGGGCTCCACACAATATACAGCCAATGATGTCAGCCTCTTCATGCAGATTAATTTGTTGACAATCTTGTTTTATCTTTATTTTTGGGATTAAGATGCTTCAGAGTCCTCTAGTTCACTCAACAGCCCTTCAAGTCAGATGATTTCACCAGGCTGATAAGATTGAACAACGAGTGAGTCTAAATATTCTAATCCAAATCTGAATTTAAAGAAACAAGTAAATCAAACTGTATTAGAGACTATTTCTCAAAGGGTGCAGCCACAAGCCTTAATGTATGCCATGATCTTTTCCCACGTGTCACATGTTGGAACCAAACAGTTGTTCAGTCACTGTCTCTGTATGAACAAACCCTAAGAAGCATGGAGAAAAAATCAGAGACATATTTGTATTTTCTGTATGTTGACCATATCCAACCTCAGATCAGTGGACTTTTAACAGCAAGTGAATTACTTTCACTGCTGAAAATCTGATCTCAATAACCACGAGTATCACTGAAGATAGAGCAGAAAATGTATCTCTTTAATTATTACTTTTCAAATGACTATGTACAAAATTTCAGTCATTTTTTTCCTTTTCCCTTTTTCACAAAGGAGGCCTCTGATTGGCTGGGCTCCTACTCCTCTTGACCCCTCTAAATGTTGGACATGTTTTCGACTGTTCTTTTTACACCTGCTTCTTTCTTTTCTTTTCTTTTAAGGTTTGCCTGACAGTGTTTGAACTCCCAAACACTTCCACCTACACCTTGATACTGTGGGTTTTGATACTGCTTTTGGCAAGTCTGTCTGATTTTGTCCTGAACCCTTTTAAAAGTATGACAGATACCTTTGGCTTTGTTTGAAAAAGAATAGCCCCATCAGAAATGGAAAAGTCTTTCTTTTGTGTTTAAAACAATATGTTTGTATGACAATTTTGGGAATACAACAACAAAGACGACCAAAACACGTCGCAGGCAAGTTGGTAGAACAAGCTTGTAATGAGGAAAACCTTATGCCAAATCTACACTTTGCTGGATAAGAATTAATTTATTAAGAAAATGTAATCAACTAAACCAAAGCTAAAATAAGCACAAATATGGTGTGTTTTAAATGACATTTTTTAATAAAGATCTTCAACCCACATACTTGTGTATTGAGTTGTAAGGCCAGTTTTACAAACACCTCTTATCTCAATCTGAAGAAATGACGATTTCTAAAGGGAATTTTTCCAAGGTTTTTTTTCAACCTATGGTTAATAATCACAGCATATAATCCACAATCATCACAGACCTCCAGGGTCATTCAAGGGCTATGCCACAGTTATTATTTTGACAGTTATTCAGCGCATCCATCAACACCTCCACCCCCCTCGATCCATCTTCAAACACTGTCATCCACCCAAACAGAAACACAGACAGACACAAGATGTATTCTGCACCTCTCCTTTACAGCCCCCTCTCTCTTAAAACAGCAATTAAAGCCCTCAGATCACTTTCTTTCTTTTACCCCCTACCTATTCTCTCCCTCTTCTTCTTTTTCTGTTTCTCTTTTTCACTCTAACCCCCAGCAAAGAGACCTTCCTCTGGTTGCACTGCAAAAGACATGGTGACCAAGCTGCCTGAACCAGTTAGTCATAACTGGCTCATTTTTTTTTACATTTGTCTAGAATTTTTTTTAAAAACAAGTCCCTATTCGCTGTAAATTGAATATTTTATCAGGTGTGAGGGATTATTTTAACTTCTTCATTTGGGGGCACAATTTAGCAATATGAGCAAGCGAAATAGAAACAACTGATATGGACAGCTATTATAACTGACAGAACAGTAGATGGCTAAATTGTTATAAAATATCAGTATATAAGCCTCCCCATACTGCTGTTTTTACAGTGTTTTCCAGTTGGTTACTGCTGTGTCAGATTTGAATCATCAATCATAAGCCCCATTTACACACAGACCACCTGTTATGATAACACCACGTGGACTGAAACATTTAAGAACACCTATTTTTCAACTGCAGTATTGATATTTCATTGTTACAAGTCAAAAAATATTGGGGTGACCCCTATCCCAAGAAAGAATCCTATCTGAAAAACAACTAAAAAGTAGTAAAGTACGGTTGTCCTGCCTGTGAAATGAGTCAAGCGGAACTGTGTGGGATCAGGGTGGGGGTGGGGCTCTGTGGAGGAGGGTTGGCTCTTGATAGAAAGTGATCTAAAGTGCTGTAATTGTAGGTGGTGTGTTGGTGAAAGTGATTTTGTGTCCCAGCACGTTTCTTTCTGCCTGACACATCAATATTCCTCCAACCCTTCATTAACCCCTCCCTCCCACCATCACTGTCCCCACCATCACCATCACCATCACCATCACCATCACACACATTCAGTCAGTAAAATGTTCACTAAACTTCTGAGCACGAGTGCTGACTCTGATGACAACTTCATAACTACCTCTGCCCTGCACTCTGCTTCTTCTTCTTCTTTGGCACATCTTTGTGAGGAGGTGGGATATAGATAGATAGATTAGGGGGCTGGGTGTGCATTGGGGGGGATTTAATAGATGAGAGATGATCATCACATGGAGCTTCTGTCAGCTGTGACCTTTGCGAGCTGAGTGACCAGAGAGACAGCAGAGTCATTACCAGCTTTTATCCTTTTGTGTGTCTGTCGCAGCCCCGCAGAGAGGAGAGCGCCTCTGTCATTTAGGGCACCGCTCCTCAACCTGGGGGTCCTGACCCCCTGGTGTCACGGGGTACATTTTCAGGGTCACAGGATATAGCTCTACCATACAAAATAACTTTGTGATCTTCATCCTTTTTTTTTTATTCTGATTTTTGTCTGTGGTCACTTACACTACACATTCTTGTACAAATACATAAAACAAAGTAAAGGGACACTGGGGCATTTGATTCCTTTAAAGCTTCTTTAGACTTGCATCATAAACCCACCAGGCATATTCACACTAAATTCAACCACTTCAAAGTGCCTGTTTGTGCCACTAAAGGCTCATAAGTAAATACATATTTTTCATCATTTGAACCATTCCTTAAATGATCATATATCAATTTGTGATAGGATGATATTATATGAATAGCATACAGTATATAAACATAAAGTTTTGCTGTATTCATTCTGACTGGATGGTTGATTTGTCCATTAATCCAGAACCGGTGGTACCCCTCTTTTTCTGTAAAGGACTTAAAAGTAACATTAGGTGTTTCTTAAGGACCCAGATTCAAAAATACACATCAACCGAACTTTTTCAAATGCATGTAAACATACCAGTCTATCTGAAATCATGCTGAATCAAATTTCTTGTAGTCAAATTTAAATATAATACAGTCTGAAATTGATTTTCTCAGTTAAATTAGGATAAAAGTACAGTTGTGGATTTTATCTCTGTGTTTTCACTGAAAAAGGAGGAGCACTGCCAGAAGAATCTTCTCTTTCAAACCCTGCTCCCTAACTTTAATACAGAAAGGCTGCTGTTGGTTTATATGTGTGTCATGGCTGATGAGCATCAGGTATGTTAAACAGCATCATGCCAGCAAATGGACATGTCGAGGCATGTCATGGAGACCCAAAGGTACACAGATGCTCCTCACTCTGCCTCACATGCAGATTCTCCAGGGGTTAAACCATCACCCTTTACAGCTTCAGCATCATTACCACAGAACAAGTCCCGGGGTAGTCCTCCCATGTATGATACTGTGAAGGGCAGGATTATCACTACTGAGCACCTGACATCACACAACAGTCTATCTAGTGACACACAAGCAGACATCTGTTGTTGGATGACAAAGAAAAATTTATTGCACAACATAGATTAAATTAAATTTGTGTGATTAAATTAAAGTGACAGTCTGACTCAGCAATGTAAAATAGTCTGTACAAAAATAATTATCATCTTAATACACGGGTCTCTGAATGTAATAACCATGTGACATGTACACTGAGGGAACACGTATCACAGCAAACGACCACTCCTCTGTGCATCTCTTCTCTCTCGTCATCTTGCGGCTTCCTCTCTGTCTCCTCCTCAACCTCCTCTGCGGACACATCAAATCTTCCTCCACAGCGACAGCTGTATGTGTAAACTCTCTCATCTGGAGCAAAACACATACATTCAGATAAGGAACTGCAAACTCAGCACCATTCATCATATAGTGATCATGAAGATGCACAGGTATTTGATCAGGACATTTGAAGTTTAATTAAAACTCCTGTGGGGAATTTTCTGTTCATGTGAATTTTGGTGCCCTCTGTGGACAAAGAAGTCTTTTACTTATTTTGTCTCCCGTAAGCTTCGATGGTGACATCTTGCAAAGTCTTAAAAGTCAAATGTACCCCCCCAGCACCAGAGTCAGGCATTTAAAAAGTTGTTGATGTTGTCACAGATGGTCATCCTTGCTTTTTACATCACAAAAAGGCCTCAGTATGAATTTCACTCCATTTTATAAACACCAAAACAATTCCTCAGAGGAGCGCTAATTGGATGGATGTGTCAGTTGTACTATAGGAATACAAATGTCTACATTAAAACAACATAAATCTATGAGGAGATCTCAAAAAGCTGATTTCACTGAGAGGAGTTGTTGTTTTTTGCATGTGTGTGGTGTGTGTTTATCAACTTGATGTGCATTTACCCTGGTCCCAGGTCATGTCCTCCAGATGAACTACAGAGTCCACTGGCCAATCCTGTTTGAGCTCCTGTGCTGCAGAGGATTATTAAGAAGAGAGGAGATACATGAATACAGCAGTTAAAGAAAGACTGAACAAAAGGACTATGTCACTTTTGCTGTATGTCTGTTTTCAAATGTACCTTAAAAATTTCGGACATGTTTCCTGGTGATTTTAAGAAACCTAAAACCTGATATTTTCAGGAACTGGCTTTCATACATGTTCCTAACTGTGGAAGATTATCAGTGCTTCACAATATGATATACTTTGTTTGGTATAAGACAGAAGGTCAGCTTGGTAGTGAGTGCAGGAGGAGGAAGAGTTGGAAGATTTTTGAAGATGTATGAAGATTTTTTTTCTCAGTGCAATAATAATAATAGCAGAAAATATAAACCAACCCCTAGATATGGGGGAGGTCCTTGGTTGTTAAGTTAGAAACAGCCAGGAAAACCTTTGTGCAGGGATAACAACTGGAATCAGGTCAAGTCCTAATAAGGGGGCTGGACCCTTGCCTCTGTCAGACCTTTTCAGACTTGGCAAGTGTCTTCTACACTGCTCTAAAAAGCATGCCATAAAAAAGACCTGGATGAACCTGGATCTTACATCCCTGACTGATGCCCCCATTCCTGAAAAAATAGTCCAGAACCTTGGTCATCCAGGAATGAATGAATGAAAAGTGACAGGAAGATCCTTCAGCTAGAAGAATGTGTTCACACACACACTCATGTACTTTTTTAAATTTTCACTATTGAGGAAACCGTCATTATCAAGTCGTACAGTTTGACAGTGATAATGACTATTGACCGTTGATAATTAGTGTTACACTTTAATTACTGTTACATTTGGGCATGAGTAATAGCTGCTAAAGCAGTGATAATTTAAGATCCAATGAAGAGGAGACTGAAGATTAAAGATGTTACATAGTATAATCACCTGAATACAACAACAAAATACAAACATGTCTTTACATGAAGCACTTTCTATACCTTAAAAGACTTTGGGACTGTTTCTCAAGTTTCTATGTCTTCTAAACGTTTGAGATCAAAGTTCATTGATTCGATTTGGTGTTTAAGCTTCTGAAAGACAAAAGTTAACAAGATGTGGACCAAGAGAGACCACATCTAGCTAATCTGTTCAATGTTGACCACGAAACAGTAGTGCTGGGCAATACTGAAAGATTTGGTATTGATCCGATACCAATTAAATCCAGGGCCATTATCCATGATATTGATACCGATACTATGTAATATCTTAGGTTGACATTTCATCAAACTGCTGACCTTAAGGTGATTTTGTGATTTTAAGAATATACCCAGTTGCACTTCAAAAGTTAACATTAACTGATGCTGAAGATGACCACTCTTATCTATCAGCCCATTACAGGTAAGTGATGTCCCACCTCTCTTCTGTAGGTCATACTCTCTCCTGGTGTCCTGATCACTGAGGATCCTCCATGCTGCATCAACTTCTAGAAACTTCTTTACAGCGGACTCAGTTTCTGAAGAACATGCACCACCAAGACGGTCTGGATGATACTAAGAAATCAGACAAACACACAAGGGGTATCAAACAATGGAGGAAAATAACTTTAAAGACCAACTAATTAAAATAAGCTTTGCACAAGACAGACAGCCTGGTAAAGATTGTGTCTACTTCGTGTAGGCATGCAATGCAGACACAGACAGATAAAGAGACTTTCAGCAGTCCTTTTTGTGTGTTGTTTTATAGATAGTTAAAGCACCTGTCGAGCCAGCTGCTGGTATCTGTGTCTGAGCTGCTGCACTGAGTCTGAGGGGCTGGCTCCCAGCACTGCATACAGGTCCTTCTCTGACACTTCACACATCCCTGCTGAAGAGGAACAATGACATAAGACCAAATCATGAATGACAAAACCATTTACAATGGGACTAATGCTTTGCCTTTACTAAGAAGAGTTAGATTTAAGACCAAGTTCAATATAGAAAACAATTCATAAGTTAGCATCTTATTAAAGCTCATAATTTGGGCTGTTATTGAGAAGGTGGAACAAAGTAAAAAATGCAAAAACAAACAATGTCACTATTTTATTGTCCACATCACATGAGTCTTACACTTCTCAAGTCTGGCCTACATTATTTTTAAAGAGTAGAAGATTTGTCCTTTCTTGCTCTGCAAAGATAAGATAAAGATCTCACATATCTGAGTCTTTAGATGCCCTTTTTAATCATCTAGTCCAGACTTGAGAAGTCTGAGAGTAGTGGTCTTGATCAGGATCTTGTTTCTTTAACCTTCTCTGTAACAGATAAATCAGAAACTGCAAATGAGATGCTGACTATAGGGTCGTCTGTGAAAGTGAAACAGTAGAATTTTGCATTCTTCTTATTTATTTTCTAAAACAATGGATTATAAAGTGCTTCACAGGTTAATAAATAAAAACAAACAACACGATTAAAAATAAATGAGCAACTGAGAATAAGATAAAACTGTATCTGCATAAATAGGTTTTGAGGAGCTTCCTAAAGCATTCAGTAGACTACTTTGAATGCCTATATGGAGAAAAATTGCTAAACCCTACCTTGCATTTATGTAAACCTTTATGAATTTGAATCAACGTATTTGATGAAATTATTGAAATCATATGCCTAAGCACACGTTTTAATGTTACAGTCTGAGCAGGTGAGAAAGGGGGAGCCTTTTTTTTTCTCCCTTTTTTAACTCTATTTGTGTCTCTTGGGTACTGCGGCTTTATGCAAAACGTTATGGTGCCAAAACCCAGTGAAGTGCACAAACCAAGAAGACACATCCCGGGAAAGATTGGTCATGTTTTTAAACGGGGTTCGTGTCTGACACTGTTAAAGCCAAACGCACCGTGGGCATGGACACGGTGAACCACGATTCACTGATGTTAACGAACCTGAACGGTGCTCATTCTGACAAAGTGTCGAATAGGTTCCATCTAATCTTACCGGATATTAAGTATAATATTGGGTATTGAAGAATTAAACATACCTTCAAATAAAGCCTTTACCTAGGAGCTGACATAGTGCTCCATAGCATGTTCCTCAAGTAAACACCTCGCCTTGTAGTCGCTCGTCCTCCTTCTTCTTCGTTCCTGTCTTTTCACGGTTGCTTACATAATGGCGGTTTGTGTGAATTATCGCCACCTATTGGTGTGGAGTATAGATTGGGAACTACCTCATCCTTCAATTAAAACAAAGAAAAAGAAAACTAAACCTTTTCTCTTTTTCTTACTTGTTTTTTCCCACCAAAAGTCAAGACATGATATAACAAGTACTTTTCTTTCCTATGAGCAAAGAAACAACAGACAGGCAATGTACCACAGACACATGTTACCAACTTTTACTGTTAGAGAAATGTGTGGATCCTGTAAAACAGAAACACCTCAAATTATGTAGCTATGCTATTGATTGAAACAATTATTTTACATCATTTCAATTATTTTGCTTTCTTCAAACGAAAACCAAAATTCAAAGTAACACTCAATTACAGAAACAACATTTATTGGCTGTTGAGGCCTAAAAAATATGAGGGAAAAAAATCTGTCTCTACAAAGATTTCAGGGCACAAGGAAAAAGAAAGAAAGAAAGAAAGAAAGAAAGAAAGTAAGAAAGAAAGAAAGAAAGAAAGAAAGGGTCTGGAGCTGTAGCAATCCACAGAGGCTACTCCTTTATGCACCCTCACATACAATATGGTATAGAGACATATTTTATAATGTATTAAAAAATAAATAAAGTAAATAAATAGATACAAAAAAAGACAATCATTTTAACAAATTAAAGCATTCATTTCACTGAGGTCAGCCTTAATACCATCATCATTTGTGATCCAAAATCTACAACAACGACCTGATAATATGATTTGAAAATTATGCGAAATATTTGTGCAACAGCCAATATCACAGTAATAGATTCCACTGCCAAAGGTCTGAGACGACTGCCAGCAAAGAGCAGCACCAGAGCACATGCTGAGAAATGTGTCCTGACAATACAGACTATGAAGTGATCTGTTAATTGAGCTGGGAACAGAAGAGATGAGGTGACACAATGACACCTTTTTGATCCGACTGCCTGTCTGTCACTCGCTTATGGCTCTTTAACGAGACCATGGGGGGAGGAGGGGGGAGGAGAGACACGGGGTGACTGACATTGTTGTGCACTTAATTATTTCTTCATTTTGGTGGAATTAAGGCTCAATTAGTCAAGTGACATATTCATTGTCAGATTGGGAGGCTGTAGTTAGCACTTGAAAATACACGTGTAAAGTCTCATGCAGCAAGTTTAATAAAGTGGCCGGAAATACATTCTAATTTTGAGTCCTTTGCTGCCACGGTGTTAGAGATAGATAATTTTCTGCGCAAATTTACAGCCTGTTTTTAGTTTGTACTATTTCACACTGGTGTAAAGTGAAAGATATTCCCCTCTCCCCAATGCACAAGATAATTTGCACTTAGAACAGGCTTCTTTTACTGTGTAAAATGAAGGGATCAAGCATATTGTATTGATACATATATATTGAGGATCATTAAAAGTGATCAAGTGGCAGTGGGAAATAAAATTCTGAAACGGTGAGCAGGACACAAAGGGTCACCCACTCATTCCATTATTGAGCTTACGACCCAGCTGCAAACTAGACACAAACAAACTGACCTCAAGACAACAACTATTAATTTATTGATTATTTATGGGGAGCCAAAAAGAATGAAGTTCCTCTGGTTCCACTATAGGTAACACATCCATTGCAACAGGTTCCAGTCAGCCTCCTATAGTTCAAATGACACTTAACTGAATCAGCAAGGTCACAAAGTTATTTCCTGTTCACTTCTTGCTTCAGAGTGAGTTGGATGTGGTGGACTGTGTAGTGAGCTTGATAATGAACATTATAAAAACATGCCAATTTGATGGACACTGAATAATGACATGATTTCTGTCACATATTCAAACTGTCTGCTTATCACCGGCTGGAGATTAAATAACAGCGTTATTTTAGCAATATAAAGTATTCAACTCATTGTATTTTCACAAATAAACATGATTAATAATCATGTAAAATACTTAAAATCTCATTTGTATTATAATCATTTTTATGATTAAAAAAAACTGTAATTGTGCTTCAAATGATTTAGTCTTACTCTTCTATTTTAATTTATTTCATTTTGAGTTTAAATTTTTTGTATGTTTTTATCAGTCAGTTTGGTTCTCATATCATCTTTGTCATCTTTATATGCTGCTTAAAATAAGCAGCAGATTTGTGAAACATTTAATAATTTAAATACTATTTGTCCATCCAATTTGATTTTCACTGCAATGCATGATGGGATGTATTGCTCAGTAGGTGACCATCAGTTGTACACTACTTTTCAAAATATATTGTGGTAAACAATGAGTTCTCTACAGGGTACATTTTTAAAAGTGAACACATTCACAGTGCAATACTGCCTGTCAGCTTTTATTGAGGCAGTTTTTGGCTACACATGTGGATGAAAAATTAAGGCACGTTGTCTGAGTTAAAACAGTTAATGATGCAGGATTTGAAAACTATTTCATGCTTGACAGGTCTACAGTTACAAAACACACAAAGCTAAGTACTTCCCCCCTTTTTTCAACAAATCTAAATCAAAATGAGGCAATGTTTTACTTTGCATGATACTGGCAACATTTTCTTCTCTTTGTTCAGAAAATTCAGAATTGAGACACATTTTTATATTTGTTTGGTTTGCATTGCTTCTTAGCATTGGTTTAGTCTTTCAACATGTTTATAAAGAAATGTCATTGCTTTTGGTCCCATTTCAAGTAATGATTTGTGAGAATAATGTGAAGTCGTGTGCTTTATTGCACAAGTGTAAGACAATTCAAAACCACCAATAGACTATGAAACAGGGAAACCAAACCAGGGTGACAAAGTGAAGGATAAGGAGAGGTGAAGTTTCATTAAAAAAAGACTGCATACTTGTTGTGTTTTGAAAAGAAAAAGTGGGAATTAAAACCTATTTTAATTTCACTAAGAAAAACACTAATTACTTTGTCAATTAGACACATTTAGAAAAACAATAACAAGTAATAATTTAGGACTATTTCTTAATTTCAAAAAGACCCAATCATTGCCCCCAAGGCACAGAAAAGCTTACTCTCAAACTTTTGTTTGTTCATATGTGTGTGTGTGTGTGTGTGTGTGTGTGTGTGTGTGTGTGTGTGTGTGTGTGTGTGTGTGTGTGTGTGTGTGTGTGTGTGTGTGTGTGTTTCTGGCTAGCACTCTCAGACATAGAGCAGCTGTTCATTAGAAATGTGTGAAGAAACAACACAGACGATAATAACAGCGATCTCTGGCTCATTAAAGGCAGAAAAGAACAACTAGACACACACACACACACACACACACACACACACACACCGAAGCTACAACATGTCAGTCAGACAGAACCACTGACCCACACATCAGCTTCATATCTGACTCCGCTCGGAATGGCTAAAGGATACACACTAACAGCTGTTCACCAGTAAGGTGTTAAATAAACTAATAATCATTAACAATAAAAAACAACTTCTACATGCACAGTCCTCTCATTAACTCGCTGCAGTTATTGTCTTTAATAAACAAACCAAACACTGACGTCCAAAAATGTAAGCAGCAGCATCATATTTCAAAAGACTTTTCTGAAATAAAAGTTTATAATACTTGTATAATGTATAACTATTTGGCTGTAATGTTTTGTATGCAGGCTACTACAGTGGTGTTCCTCAAGGCTCTGTGCTTGGGTTAGCTCATAGTTGTGTTACCAAGGTGCTGCTCAGGAAGTTTGGACCATACAGCTGTGCTTTAAGGTCTGCACACCTGGGTGGACTCCCACATTTCACCTGTGCCAAGCCCTGAGAACACATCACCTCCAGCTCTCATCGGCCCTTACTGGCTACCAATAAAATCAATTACATCAATTATAAAATACTACTCCTCACCAACAAATCCATCCATGCCACTGCCTCTCAGCACCTCTCTGACCTCCTCCATCTGTGAACCCCATCCTGGGACCTCTGGTCTTCAGTCACTGGCCTGCTGTTCATCCTAACCACCAGACCCTGTACACATGCAGACAGGACTATTTATTATAGTAATAATTATTATTATTATTAGTATTAGTATTGTTGTTGTTGTTAGTACACCTGCACAAGCATCCTGGAAATGTAGCTCAGGGTACAAAAAGGCCCTGAGCTCACCACCTGATGTGATGGGCTGTTAAAACAGACGTAACCAGAGTATGCTGACCATGAAATAATGCAGAGGAGTAAGTCAATACTGAAGCTGCAAACATGTGATGGATCCTGGTGCATGTAGGCTGTGCAAGTATGCTCCACAAGTAGAGGTATGTACCATCAGTACGGACTGAAAATCAGCCTCTAATTATGTGAAGACTCTGTTGACAGCGAATGCATGTATGTAATGGCTAGACAAACCCCTTTTTTGGTGATGCAGAAGCTTCAGACTTGTCACACACGTGCAAGCGTATGCGTGCACACACACACACACACACATACAATTTTCAGATGTGCTACTGCAAATTACTTGGGCATGTAGACACATTGAAGTGGAAAAAGACCACATCTCATCTTACCCACAGCTCTGTGCCCTGCACACACTTAAACACACAAGTGCATGCAAACATACTCCAAAACACACACACACACACACACACACACACACACACACACACACACGGTCTGCCTTCCAGCTTGGCCTAGTGGCACACTCCATTGTCAAGGCGTGTGTGTTGGAGTGTGTGTGTTTGTGTGATTGATGACGGGTCACATCTTGCTGTGCTCTGAAACACTTCACTGGTTTTTAACTGCTGAAGCAGCAAGAGACCGTGTGCTTCTGTGTGTGTGTGTGTGTGTGTGTGTGTGTGTGTGTGTGTGTGTGTGTGTGTGTGTGTGTGTGTGTGTGTGTGTGTGTGTGTGTGTGTGTGTGTGAGAGAGAGAGAGAGAGAGAGAGAGAGAGAGAGAGAGAGAGAGCGTGTGCATTTGTGTTTTACAGTGAATCTGAGCCAAAGAGACACAGCTGGTCAACAGAAGTTCCTGGACAGCAGCTGCTCCCTGAGTGAAGCCTCTGTAGTCTTTTGACTGATTTAGCAGTTTTTGTTTTTTGTTACACTGACACATTCAGTATATCATTATTCTGTTCTTTACTGTCTCTATATTTCTCTGTTATTGCCATAATTATGTACATCATGCGGCACATACCATCAAATCACAGCCTTTACTCACATGTATTTGATGTAAGCCTGCCTACAGCATCAAAATAGGATTTGTCCATGGATTGCTTGTGGGTAAAGATATGAATAAACCAGCAAAGGAAAAAAACAGACTTTGCTTCTACACCATGTAAAGACAGTAGGTCAGGCCAATCTGTGGCAAGGTGTGATCAGTATCTGTTGGTCAAGGTTTCATTCACCTTCTGTAATAAAAATGTTTAAATAGGTTTCTCAGATGTTGGTCAGTGGTATGATTTTTCAGTTGAAGGGTCCTAACATTAGAGTGTATATAGAACGGACGCCCTCTGCCTCCCCGCTGGGTGAAGCCACCCTGAGAACAGCACCCTCTGGCGACGGGCTGCAGTACAGGTCATAAATCCCACCTCCTCCAGCAATCTCTATGGAGCTGTGGACAAACTTTAGAAATTTATTACACAGAATATTATTTTTTCTCCTCCCTGCTTGTGATGTTGACGTGTAGTTATGTAAGACTAGTTTGTGCTCAAGTCCTCTTTTTTCTGTGTAGCCCCGTTTTTAAAAGTTATTAGGGGGTTCATGTTTTCTATGATTGACACTTGATACAGCCTATGGGCGTATGAAGATTGCATAGCTCACCCTGGGGATACGATGTTTGAGCCGAGTGTCATCATAGCGACTCTCCCGCCGAATGCGTACAATGGTACTGCGCAAGTGGTGGAGTGCACGCAATGCCACTGCCCAATACTGGTTTCAGGAAATGGAGAAGAATTGCGGAAACACTGAGAGCTTTTTGGCCTCAAATCCTTATACTGGCAGAAGGTGGAACCAAGTTGTCCATAGTGTATACAGTCTATGGTCCTAACTCAGAGATTTATTAATTTGAATATGCAAAATATGGTTTTAGTTAAGCGCCAGGTCAAATATGCATTTTTAACTGAAGGTGCGCTTATCAATGGGGTGGCTGAAAACTCTTGTTGTGATACAACTTCCTAAATCATCATCAACTAAAGCTGTACTTTATAATATTTATTCAGCTTTGTTATTTTCTCATGACAAAAACTGTAATTGTGACTTCAAGTGTTTTTTTTTCCTAGCGAATAAAGAATCATATTTCTCCCTATAAGGTCATTTAGTGTATTTTAGTAACTGTGTGCTGCATTGTTTGAGTACATACTGTTTTTCTGTGTGTGTGTTTCTATTGTGTGTTCAGAAATAAGTGTTTCTTTTTTTTGTAATGGGCTCACTAATAATCTTCAGCGCAGGCACTGACACATTCTAAAGTGTGGGGCACGTGCATGTGTTCATGCATGCAGTGAATTAATTGTAAGTGTGTGTTAGCTGAAGCATGCTTTATTAATTGTGTGAATTCAGTGAGAGTTAAAGTTCATTCAAAGTCAGACAAGAAGGAACAACTTCGATACTAAACTCCTGGTGTCAGTCTACTGAATAAAACAAGTCGGGTGGAATATTTCAAGCCTTTTTTTGTGTTTGTTTGTTTTGAAGTTGCAGTGTGGCAGTGGCATAAAGTAGAATGCATTTTGTGTGTGCACTGTTTTCTTTTCCCTTTTAGTCGACTGTCCATTAATTTGCTCTATGGCTCGACCCTCTGTGGCTTGACCCTCCATGTGTAGGGGGTCAATGATGGTCCTCTTGAAAACTGTCAGCAGTCATTACCTTGACTGGGGTTGTAACTATGGAAAGGTCCTGAAATACTGTAGTTAACCAAGCCCCATTCACGACAGCAGTGACCCTCTTCATTAATGGGCATGATGAACTCCATTTACGCACCTGCAGCCTCAGGTAACTTGGGATCTCTTTGCTCTCCAGTTAACAAAGGAGTCTCTCTCCTTTCTCCTTAGTCTAACAAGGCTGGTTCTTCTTCTGTAAACTCCACTTTTTAAAGGCATCCTCTTGTGTCCACGCTAAATGGCTTATCATCATTGCTGCCAGAACCACTCATTTTTCAATGTTTGTATTTATGGTATTTGGGATATGTAACAACAAAACAATGATACATAGTCTTTAGTCTCTGAAAAGGCAATAATTAAAAAGGATACAGTAAATGTATGAGAAGCAGAGTTAAAACTAAGGAGCAAATATAAGCGATTGAGCCATTTTCAACTAGGCTCCAACTCAGCTGTGATACATGAGAAAATATGAACATTAGTAAACACACACGCTCAAATTGAGATGGAAAGGTCTAGTCAAGTGTGGGATGGAAGGTGGCTTTGCATAAACTTGATCCAGGCAGCATTTTCCTTTTTCCTCCCAGGTTCTAGATATGCCTCAGATTTTCTTCTCTGGACCACCTTCTGACCTGGAGGACAGTTTTGGGTCAACAGCTCATCCATAACTTTGGTCTGTAAGGTTTTGTGTTTATTCGTATGTCAAAAAAAGTTTGGAAGAAAGGCCTCATCAAAGGTGATAAGGAAGAAAAAGCAGCATCAGCAGTCCAACAATCAAGAGATGCATGAGATGTCTCATTGTTTGTACTGGCTGTCTAACATGAACCTCACTTTCTGTGTGATTCATACAGTCTTTGCATCTTTGTGTCACCTTTTATTTAAGACAGAAGCTTTGTGTCCGTGGATTTGAAAAAATTTGCAAATTTTGCTCCTTAACATCATGTGATCTGCACCATTCATGCCTCGCTAAGAATTCTCATCTTGCTATCGTCAATGTATGTGACAGCCAAACAAAATTGTGTTAGGCCTTATTCTACCATCAACTTGGACTCCACAACCCTGCAAGGAAGTCCTTTCACAGACTTATTTTTTGTAAATCGAATATGTAGATCCAACATATGGTCTCCTTTTCTCATAAGATGTTGTCTTCTCTTTACCTGCTAGCTACTGGATATAAGGTAGTTGAAGGTGTGAGAACCTTAACAGCGTTTAAACACTGACTAGAGTAGCTTTAACGTGTATATAGCTATTTTTTCAAAACCTTACCATACACAACACTGGGTTAACTCTAAAATAAAGTAACATATTATACTACATTTAAAGTAAAAATGATTTTCAGAACTTATCAGGAGCAGCAGTGATTGTAAACCACAAGCCTTTAAAAATAAATGTTAAAACACGAAACAGCTCATGAAGTACTTGTCAGGCAGCAGATTGCATCTTGACTCCAGCCATTGGTGATTTTCTGCTCAGTTGTCTCATCTCTGTGCTCACTGAGCTGGCTAAATGCTCTATCTCTAATTACTCTCTCTCTCTCTCTCTCTCTCTCTCTCTCTCATGGTAGCTGCAGTAAATAAAGTTTGTGCCCAACTTTCTAATTTCTCATCTGACTTCAGTATTGTTACTGTGACTGAATAACCTGTCTGCGCACCATAATCTTACAGAATGCAGAGCCGTGAAAAATGCAGATCTGACAGTTAATCTATTTGTGCTGTGAATCAGAAGTCATTCACTGGCCTTTCCATTGGTGCTATTTTCAGTCATCTTAAATAACTTATTTGTTGTTAGCTGCTCGAGTCAAGTTCTCTTCCTTCTCTCTGTGTTTTAATCCTTAACTGAATCTCGTGGACAATCATCAAAAAAAAAAAAACTTTAAAAATCAGTCAAAAAGTTGAACCAAAACAATTACAAAATTGTAATTGTTTACACCCTCTACTTGTATTTGCAGTTTTGATTGTAACAAAAACAATAGCTTTGTAAAACCTTGTGTCCCAGACACTAAAAGATAGTTGTAAGTTGTGCTGTGGTAATAATGATAATTATTCGTCCTAGTAAATTGTAATTTGTCGTGGGTTAACATTTCAGCTGTCGTTTGGCAGCCTAGTCCAAAATTTGGAGAAGTTTTGTACTGGAATAAGGATACTTGTGAATTACTTCAGTTAAAAAAAAAAAAAATCAGTATTTTTTGATCATATGTAAATGTAGGAAGAGCCCTGTTTTTGTAGCTATGCCCAGAGGGGGAACCATTTGGGGCAGCTTAAAATCAAGGTGGCAAAAACCCAATAAATCACAAAAGAGCTTTGCAAGCTCTCAGAATTAGCACAGAGGGAGGCCTGGAGCTCAAGACAAAGGAGACATTGAGAAACTACACTTCTGCAACTTGCTGCAATGTAACATAAAAATGACATCTGACAGCAGCACATTACTGACAGTTTTTAAGCAGAAGAGAGTCCTCCTGATTAAATGTTTACTATCTGCGGTTTGAATTTGGAAGGAAGGAGAACAATAATGTGATAGTGTTCTGCTTTTACACTGGAAAATAATGCAGTCATTCATTACCAAACAACTGTACCAAGGTTTCAAATCACACACAAAAACTTTGACTAATTAAAGTCCTCTGACTCGCTCACACACAAACACCCCCCAGACACACTCTGAACTAATGAAGCATAAATGATACTCTCTCCAGACCATCACTACAAAAATGGAATTTGCACTTGATGAAACTGTCGCTGCCTAGATGTATCACATACACACTTAATACACACACACACACACACATACACACACACCTCACAGCTTTAAAAGGTGTAATTTGTCCGCTTCAGTAACCAAAGTGAATATTCACCTTGACAGCTCTTAAAAAAGAAAAGAGCAGAGAAGAGCTGTGTTAGGAGAAAAGAAAGAAGAAAGTATATCACCTGTTAGTTGTTTCAATTTGTTGTTGTTTCTGTTTTGTTTTTCGATCAGTTATCTAAAGTAAGAAAGTGGGGACAGGGTAGAGGGATGATGATAACTCTGGACTTGTGGTATCCTCTATCTGATATAACGTGAACAGGCCCGTGTTATACTATGCACTTCACTAGACCACTCTCCACTGCTGTCCCCAGTGGTTGAATGAGTCTACAGTTGCCTAGCACTGTTCTGCTCAACTCTGGGAATTTATGTTCAGCCTTTAAGTGACCCAGCACTTGGTACCTCAGAAATTTTGTGGTGATGACAAGGTAATTGATGCTGATGATGGTAGATGATGGTTGTTTCTTGTTTGGAGGATATTACCTCCGCCAAGGAGGTTATGTTTTTGGTAGCGTTGGTTTGTTTGTTTGTTTGTTTGTTTGTCTGTTAGCAACTTTACGGAGAAAGTAACAGATGGATTGACCTGAAATTTTCACCAGATGTGCGTCTCAGCCCCAGGAGGATCCCATTAGATATTGGTGGTGATCCGGATCGCCTTCTGGATCAAGGAATTTTTTGAAGGATTCTTTATCATTGTGAGATAGGGCAAATTTTGGAATTTTTGCATTTCACTCTATAAAAATGGCCAGAGTCTTAAGTAAAAAATTACACAAAAGGATCTCAATGAGTTTTATGAGGTGTCAAAGGTTGATCCTGATCCAGACAAAATTCCGGATACTGTGATCCAGAACACACAAAAATAAGGGTGTCGTTGGAATTTTCAATGCTGAAAGATAACCAGTGAAGATACAAGGAAGTGTACACTTACAAATATTGCATAATAAATCATGCATTTATGTATCTAATAAGAGCTTTGTTGTTTTCAGAACATTATGAACAGTCAACATACCAGTTCAAACACAAATAAAAGTTAATAAAAGACACGCAACAGTAACAATTTTGGTGTGAATCACAGTATAAGGGGGGACATGAGCTGCTTTGCGGATGTACGAATGTACGTCGCTTTGGATAAAAGCGTCTGCTAAATGACATTGTAACATTGTAGCATATCTTGGGACGTATACCAAAAGGTAAAATACATACAGTAGTCTGTATATACTATGGACAACTTGGTTCCACATTCTGCCAGTATACGGATTCAAAGCCAAAAAGCTCTCTGTAATGCCACATTTTTTCTCCACTTCAACTAAGATTGCGCAGTAGCATTGTATGCATTCGGCATAGAGTCGCCAGGAGTTGTTGTGATAACACACGGCTCAGACAGCCGTGTTAAAGGCTGTATCAAGTGTCAATCATAGAAAACATGAACCCCCTAATAACTTTTAAAAATGAAGCTGTACAGAAAAAAGAGGACTTAAGCACAAACCAGTCTTACAATAACTACATGTCAACATTGCAAGCAGGGGGAAGAAAAAAATTGTATTCTGAGTAATACATTTCTAAAGTTTGTCCAGCATTGAAATATGCATTTCTCAAGATATACCACAGGATAAGGATACATTGCAACAAAGCTGCACCCCTCTTAGCCCCTAACTGTCTGTCTGTCTGTCTGTCTATTCACTTGTCTATCGTGTCGATATGTCTTTCACAGAGAATGATAATCATTGGACAGCCTAACACCATCTAAAGTTAAATGACTTGGAAAAAGAATCAGTGCCCTCAAACAATACGGACGTCCAAACATGTGGTGCAGCCTGTCAGTGTGTTTGTGACCTGTACCGTTTGCTTCACTGGCTGCTTGTTGACTTGACAAGGCTCTTTGTCCTTTTGAACGCAACCCTGTGGACACACACACACACACACACACACATACAGTGACACAAACACACAAATCCAAATGTCACAGCAGGAGGTGAGAGAGGAGCCTTTTAGCTAATGAGCTTTTTTCATTCCCCATTTACCCTCCAACTCTCTCCCTCTACAAATATTTCTCCCATCTCGGGCCCATCGCTTTCTGCCTGGGTTATTGTTGCTTGGTCTGTTATTTTGAGTCATTTTTCCCTCTGTTCCCTTTAAGTCTGTAGATAGCTTAGGTGATTGTTTTGTCTGGGTGGACCCAGGCTGCAGCAATGGGTCACAGTACTGGGTCTATAAACACAGCAAAGTCACCAGGGTCTTAAAAGAGATAGATAAAATGACTTCCATCACCAAGCAGTAACCTCCACCAGAAGAGCTCTGAGGACTGTCTTGTGAAAAACTGTTGTACAACTTTGATTAGTTCAATGAGCGCACACTGAAAGCAGACACTGTATTGAATATTAACTGTGTGTATGACCTTTTCTGTAATGACTGGTCATGTGTGTGACAAGCCTCATCATAAATATCTGATGTTAAATGACCTGTGAAAACATGTCCGCTGACACAGACAAGATGAGACTAAAAGATGAGAAAGTTTTAGCAACAGGGAGTGTAAAATAAGCAGTGTGCAGTCAGGCTCTAAGATGGTTACGTTAGAAGAATTAAATCCCTGCTTGCATTTCCCAGATGCTCCAGTGTCATTATGATCAAACCACACAATAGGGGGGGACTCATACTGGCCAGTTCATGATTCAGAGGGTCTGAGGCCTGGATAAAGGTCATAGGGTCAATAACATCGAAAGCATGTTAGTGCTACGAAATTTTTATCAGCTGGCATAGTGTGCGTCCAAAGTTGACATTTTATCCTGTAGGTGGCAATGAAAAGCTTTGTGTTCTTCAACTGGTGGGATTGTGGAATCATTTTTTATTTTATTTTTGTAAAACAACCTGTGAATATTTGCCTTGACTGAATCCAGAAGCACACACAGTATAAAGGATGGTGTTTAGTGAGCAGGTTGTTATGCTAAACCGATCTTGTATAACAGTTCTCTTTAAATTATTCTTACTGTTACATTGGCACCATTGTAAGATACACCCGGTGACCCTTTGGAAAAAATGGGAATATTAGGGGTTTTTAGAAATCATACTCACGCCTCCCAGCAGTGAAGTGAAGGCAGCTATAAGAAGAAGCTTCTGTGTTGCATGATACGTACAAACCTCCATCTGTTAAGTTTTAGCATCCACAATACTGTATCTGTCATTACAAAGAATATAGAGCATGAAACCCACTCATCTTCCTCCAACTAGTGCATTTTATTCTTGTCTTCTTTTCTCTGCTGTTAATTGGTCAGTCACAAAGTACATATCCTAAGTTTTGTGTTTTACAAATATATGAAATTTAATAGTAAAAAAATGCCCACCATGTTAACCAATCAGAATCAAGTATTTAACACAGCCAGATAGTTAGAAAGAAAGCAGGGTTATAACACTTATTCAACTTATCATTTTGGGGGGACTAGTTATGGTCTTCGGTGGCACATAAACGTGTTAAGTGTTTTTCGTACATTCAGTATGTTTAAATACAATTGAGTCAAACTACAGTGATAGCTCAATTGGGCAATTTAGTTCATCTTCACAAAAGTTGGTGGTGTGCCCCCTTTTAGCTATTAGCTATTGCACTTTTTTTTTTTGGTTGATCTATCACATCATACTTTGACATACTTGGTTAGAAATGTTTGCATGTGTTTGAAAAGTCCAGGTTCAGTCAAGCTTAATCAATGGACTTTTATCATCAGGTTAACATACCTGATTTATTTGTGGTGGCCTGTGGATGAAAGGGAATTTTTGTTGACTTTTAAGTCCCCTTGCTGTCATCTAAATAGTTAATGGACTGGGTTTATAAAATGCTTTCTCTAGTCTTCTGACCACTCGAAGGGCTTCATATCAGGTCACATTCACCCATTCACATCACATTCACACACTAATGGCGGAGCCTGTTATGTATACGATCCATCAGTTTTCGACTGGTTCCAAGTGTCTTGCCCAAGGATACTTTGGCCTTTGAACAGCTCTGTAATCAAACGCCCCAACCTTCCAACTGGGAGATGACCAACTTTACCAACTGAGCCACAGCCACCCCCCTATAAATTTCAGTCAATTTTTCAAGTATATAGATGCTTTAGTTAAGAACTGTATGATAACAGACATCCTTGCCTAATTACTCTACAGCCTCATTTTGCTTTGTATGAATACTGTTAAGGCTGATACTGTCTATCCTGAACTTTGTAGTTATCAGTGTTGCATGACTACAAGTTGCATCAAGTCCCTTTTTTAGCTTTAGTTCTGGAGACAACGGAACAATGGAGACTGGAGAAAAACATACAGATACTCTTTTTGCTTTTTCAATCTCAACTGGTCAACAAGAGACAAAAAAGTTCAGTTTGAATAATGAAGTATCAAATATCAAAACACAATGATAGAAAAGTTAAGATGAAAAAGATTGAGAGAAGGGTAGATGGACTGGTGGAGGAGGAGGTGGGGAAGGAGGGGGAGTTGATAATTGTGTGTCAGACGGAGAGAGGAGGAGAGAGTGAATGAAGAGGTAAGGTTGCTAATAGTGTGTGTGATGTTGGTATTGATCAGTCCCACAGACAGAATGGTGGGACGTGACACCATGACCTGACACTGTGGCTAATCGAAAACTAATTCCCCGTCTCCATCATCATCATCATCATCATCATCGCACACACATTAACAGCTATGATCGCCCATCGTCCGGCAGCTATTATCTCTGCAGCAATTACGTCTTATAAACTCTCAAAGTATTTCAAGTTTTAAAAAATTACTTTCAGGACTAACTTTCCACCCTCGAAATCACTGTGATCAAATAGGATCATCATGTGGTCAATGTTCAGTTCATTTGGCCAAAATGAACTACAAGAAAAGCAAAAATGAACTGTAATAAATGAACTCTAATAATTAATAATCAGACATTTGACAAAAACTTTCAGCTGAGAAATCTTTGTGGCTGTGTCCTTAAGATTTGTTCACCTGTACAATATATATACACAGCATAAAATCAGACTATCTCAAATGACTCCAATGATTCCAGTTGCTCTTTTTAGTTAAGGTGACAGATTTTGATCACTGATTCTGATTTTCCTTTTCTGTTTGGCTAAGCTTCAAACTTTTCTAACAATTTTTCAAATGCTTAAAATCTCATATTTATGGAACCTTTACGAGTATAAAGATTGACCGAACCAAATGGTTCACTTATTTCAACGTTAAACATTAAAGTACACCAATTCAAGGACATCCCGGATCTGTAAAAATGACCTTCAAACCAGTGGATGGTTCAGTTTCAAATTTCCGATCCAGTTTACCGTGGCTTAGCTGTGTTATTTTTCAGCATGCTGAACCCAGACACTTGGGCATTGACCTTTCACCTTTAACAACAGTAATATTAAGTTAGGTAGCGGGTCATGTAATAATGGTACATGAGCAGCTCCTTAAATTTAGTGCAGTAATTTACAATCTACACCTCAAAAATAAGACTAATTGAAAAAATATTACCTCAATTATTCAATTGCTTTGGCCTCTTGATTAACTTCAGTCCACAGAATCACTACCTTTAACATCCAGGTGAGCCTCTTTAGTGAACTACTCTTTGTGAATGTCTGGCAGACCTATGTGGAACTACAGATGAGTGGCATTAAATAGAGACAATAAATATGAAAGTTGATGGTCTTTTATGAATTTCTTGTCTGCAGCGTTGAACAACTCAACTTAGAACAAAGAGTAAGAGTCATTTTAGGTCTTCCTCCCTCTGCTGTCTGTCTGTCTCCATCTTTCGGCTGTCTGTCTCCCTCTCTCCATTAAAGGTGTCTTCTTGGGTCGATGTTTAGCGGGATGAGAACTTGTGACGCCCTCTACTCTATAAACATCCAATCATAGACCTCATGACTCTCAGCCGACCCCTGACCCCTTTCTCTGTTCAGGAAAACCGTGTGTGTGTGTGTGTGTGTGTGTGTGTGTGTGTGTGTGTGTGTGTGTGTGTATGTGTCTTGCAGACTGAGCGCTCTGAGTGATTACGTTGTCAATAAATGTGTTTATTTGCCGTGGGCAGAGTGAAGCAGTTCTCAGAGATGAAAAGGTGTTTTGAAGCATTTTGTGGAGGAGCGGCACCGACAAGTGCTGTTATCAGATCGCTGTCTGAAGAACAATGTGTGGTCAAAATAATGAGCAGAAATCACAGAGTAAAAACCCTCGACACACAATCAATACCACTGACAGCAGGAACAGGGGGAGAGGCAGAGATGGGACCCTTCAGTCAATCTCTTGACGGATGTACATTGGTCTAGAGCCACTGTGAAAACATTCGGAGGGAACAGGTTGCCATGTGAGAGGTTCCTCCTCTCCATTCATGTCCAATCAAGATTTTTTTCATGACATGCAAAATTTCTCTAAGAAAAGAATCTTTTCTTGAATTTTCTTGTTTAAAGACCCACTCCAATGAAAATCATGTTTTTTCTTGTTGTCTACATGTTCATGACATTTTTCTAATGTTAAAAAGGACATGCCATGAGAACAATAAGAGCAAAATTGCATTTCTGAGTATTTCTGCATTCAAATCGCTGTGAATCTCTGGCAGACCCAAATGGCAGGTTCAGACACAGTGGGATTTTCCATGTCACAAATCTATGCTCTACTCCCTGCTCTGCAGGCCAGACTTCAGAATTAGATCGGATGATCGTGGAACGAGTGTGTATGGTAGTAGATTGCAACACTTGTAAGAAAGCTAATCATGATATTACCTTTCATCATCCCCCAGAAGACATGAGTGTCTGAGAGCTGAATAGTTCCTATATTACCTGCCACTTCTGCTTCACCGGCAATGCTAGGCTACAAGCTAATGTGAAGAGGAATGTGCAGAGCAGCGCTGTTTCCGCCCACAACTCAGAGGAGAATTGCTAATGAGCTACTGGAGCTCTGCAGAAGAAAAGTCCTAGAAAATGACACAGGTAACGTGACTTTGGCTAAAAACTTCAGGTGGAAAAAAACATGTCCTGCATTTCATGATGGTGGACGAAATTGCACTTTACACAGCTTAGAAAGCTGCATTATTGTTAAGGAAGTTCAGCTCTGATTTGTAAGTCCCTGGGCCAA